AACCCTTCCTGTCAATTTCGATGATGTGCCCATCAAGCCAGCGAAAGGAGGGCAGTATTTCGACGGAGACTTCAATGGTGAGAACTGGCGCTTTCTTAACACGTGGACGACAGCGTGACGCGGTAACGCGTCCCACCCAAGTCATCCCTTTTTCTTGCGCTTGCGCGACTTATTCCTAAGGTCTTTGTACTCATTCTATAGGTCATACATTAGCATACTTAAAAACCACATGGCTCACAGAAAGGCCAAATATTCTTTAGTTTGGCAGAGGTTTTACGGATATGTCTGTTCAGTTCATTCCTCGTTTTCTTTTCAATAACGTAGACATGTTGATAAAAAGGAATAATAGAAGTGAATACAAACCTATTCGTATGGGAAGATATGTGTTTTTACTGAAACAACCACGTCCAAATTAATTTTGGAACCACTAAAGGGAAATAAGTAAAATTTGCCACGGCCAGAAAATCCGCAGACCTAGCCATAGGCTATTGAGGCTGGTCACTGGATGCCTATTAAAGCTTCTATCTAATTTCTGGCCACTTCCTTCATAAGAAAAACACTTCTTATTCAAACAGATAATGATAATCAAGTGCCTGGCATCGAAGCATCCTAGCCGCTCAACCATTTCTCCCTTATGATCGCGGAATACCTGCCAGCCTATCCATAGGTCATCAGATACTCGAACTCACATGAACCTTCAATGGCTCGGACACCGGAAGTTCTGGACGTCCGCGTGAGGCTTTTCCAAAAAATTTCGTTGTGATATCTGAAAATGTATCAAGGGTATAACCGAGAAAGTCCCCAATGTCAATAATCCTATTGACGCTCTTTCAAGTGTAGAACATCGGGAAGTGGTGGAACCATGAACTATAAGTTGATCCTGGGGAAAATTCAACATGCTAGACTTCATAAATGTAGGATTTGGCATTTTGTCAAGATCGTAGAAGTTAGCCTATACAGAAAGAATCAGATATTAATACTAAAAACCACGATTACAGTTCTGTTTAGAGCTCTCCAACGGAACGGCCGGCTACGGATCCCTGGCCAAGAAGAGCACCAGTCATCACAGTTTGCCTGTCACAGCCACTCATTCCACACTCAAACACGTCGTAAGTGCATGCTATTTTTTCGGAATCGCATTTGTTTCGTTGTGATGCTCGGGCAATTTTTCCGGGCAGTTTTGTTATGCGCGGGAAGTTGTCAGGTGGAGAGGTTGGTCGATGGTTTTGATGATTCCGTCACGATTCCTGTGATATCCGTTTGTATGTTTCTGATGCCTAAATGGATTGCTGGACTCACAACCCACTCTCAAGCACATATTGCTCAAAAGGATTGTTTTAGAACTTGCTTTCCCTAAGACGTAACTAAGTTGGCGACAGAGTGAACAGACCTCAACTGCATAAATCCTGTAGAGAACACCTTGATAAGCGTAACTGCGCGCATGGCCATCTACGAACCGAGGCAACAGCTAATTCAAATTGGATTTGCAAAAAGGAATTTTGGTTAGGTTCTAGCAGTTCCAGTTTGCAGCAGCCACTCCTTCTCAAATGGTCGGTGAAATCTTGCTCCGAAATCCATTTGGAGATAAGAACGCCATGTTTTCACTGTGCTCCTCATGAACGAGACGCTCATTCAGTCGGACCAAACTGGTGGGGTAGCACCGATCGATAATGAAAGTGCGGTTGTCGACTTGACTGAATTGAAAAAGCATAGGAAACGCCGATAAAGCCTTCAACCAAGATCTCTGTCTTCACTTGAGATGAGGAAGGGGCATGACTGGACGAGTTTTTGACCATGCTGCATGGCTCCATACCTCCGTATGGCCGCTACGTCGTAGTCCATGCTGCGTGTCACGGGATGTGCGCAAGAATCTCCTCCATTGCTCAGACTTGCTCACTTTCTAAGGACCTGGCGCCTTTACAGCGGGTTTTAACTTGCGTCAGCGGCTTTTTTGTGGTACTCGTGAGCAATTCCAGACTATTCACAGAATAGATAGCCCCACATAATGCTTCGAGCAGATTTCGTCGTTGTAGGGTGATGTTCTGATGATTTGATGCTACCATTGCCTTCTTTGGAAGCAATCAATAATTTACCAGTAACGGTATGCTCGTATAAGCTGGTTGTTTCCCTTAAACTCGGTCTATAGGGTCTTCAGCCACATATCTTGAACGAGGGGTCCGATCGGACGGCATGCTTGACGACGACTCCGCTGCCATGGCGCTGTCGTCCCGCGTAACTGATGAAGGTATTTGAGAAGCGTTGCCACGCAGCTCTACACCATCTGTTGAAATGATCCAAGCCGGGTTATTGGATTTCCTTAGAGTGCCTAGCGAAGACTGGGTCAAGCCCAACACCTTTTCATCTCTCTTCCTGGTACAGTAACTCTTGAAATGATTTAGTCGAATTATTCATCAGTCCTTCAGTGTTTTTTTTTTCATAAGCCGTTTCGTAGAAGGAACGCTGTACCAGAGAGCGCTCGAAACATGTTTGGGTTATGAGTTATTTTCAGAAATCCACACCTGTGCGCAAACAACAGTCGACTGTGAAAGTGCTGCCATCGGCTCAGTCCAAGTCGCCACTGCCGAGTAAAATCAAGCAACACCCGCTCGTTCGGCTCAAAACGTGGGACCGAAGACAGTCGCGAACGCTTTGAAGAAAATCGAAAGCGACGAATGGTTTGGCATTTTCTTTATTTTTCTCATAGCACTTTTTGCGAAGTTTATGACGGTGGGACATAAACCTATACAAGAACTATTTAAAGACTTTCAAATTGAAGGGCGCAAGCAGTGAAAGTCCAGAGAAGCGAGCTCACTAAAAAATGTAAGTGAGAAAGAAGTGACGAGTGCCGCGTTAGACTGAGAAATTGGATATTGCCTATGACTTTCGTGCTCGCGCAGGAGACTTATCCATGAACCATGGAGGAGTGCCGCTGGTGGTGTTGCACTAGGAAGCACGGAGATCTCAATTGGAAATTGAAAATCTTACTTTCCACACTCCATT